TTATTTTTTTTTTGTTTGAAGAAGATAAGAACAGATTAGATATTGTATTAGGGTTAGGTTGGAGGAATTTTGTATGCTTTTTTCTAGTAAAAAAAATTAACATAGTAGAAAATCCATGTTTTGTAATATAGTTGATCAAAGATTTTAAAAAATATTTGTATAATAAGTTGAGAAGTATTAAAGTAAGAGATATTGAAGGGGTCTAGAGCTTGAATCAGAGGTATTGGTATGAAATCTTTAAGTGTGGAGTGGAGGATAAAGAGGTAAAGATAAAAATTAAAAGAAGAGTATGAAGAGATAGTATGTGTTAAGTTTAAAGTTGGAGTTAAAGATAATAATTTGAATTAAAAGAGTGTTGTCAGAACAAGTTTACTAATGAGAGGGAGTGTCTAGATGGTTGCAAGAAAAGCAATTGTCAGATGTGAATATAAGAGAGTACATAGAATGGAAGTATGCATGTGTTGGTAGAAAAAGAAATCAGATTAAAATAAAATATTATACAATGTAAAAAATAGACATGCCACTGAAAAATAAAAATTTTTGAGGTGCATTTTTTAGGGTTAGAGGTTAGTTTTAGGGTAGGGTTTATAATAAATAAGTATAAGTGGGTTTTAGAGGGTTAAATAAAAACCCTTATTTCATTTTAATCCGATTTCATTATGATCCACGACAATTATTACGTCAAATTCTTTCAAATTAAATCACTTTAATACGACATTCTTTATAGTCATACTGATTATACCGAAACCTTTAGCTTTTCATGCATAATTATAGTCGCCGTCCAAACCTAACTAGTTTGGGATTTTGGGACTTTCTTGGGTATTAACCATTATTTGTAACTAATTAAAGCCGTGGAACTTGTCCCAAACTTGCTGTATGAATTGGAATTTGGGACAAGATTCAGATATAACTAGTTTGGACCAACGGTTATAACTATTTGGACGGTAACTATATACATAATAGATCACACTTTCGGACTAAAAACAGTAAAGCTTTTTTTGTCGACGATAATTTTTTAAATTGGAGGAGATTCAGATATGACAACCAATAATATTTATCTAAATAATGTAAATTTCCGACTGATGAAAAGTCAAGTTGGAAATTGTTCATTTAAACGGAAATTTCATAATTTTACAATAAGTTTTGTGCTCTGAATAAAATTGAATTACGCTAAAATGATACGTATAATGACATTTTTTAAGCAATTCTGAATTTACAAAAACCAATTACGTTACTTTTATTGATCACTAAGATTATTCAGATAGAAAGCATTTTATTTCTTCTTACTAAATAAAAAGCCAATGTTGAAACCTTTAAGTTTTGTCTAACAATAAAAAAATCCAATTATTTTCTAAGTCAAGTACTTTGGTTCAGTGAGAATAAAATTATAATTAGCGTCCCGAACAAATCAGGATTATTGGCCAAAATACTTTCGGATCGATTTAGCACTTCTATTTCGTTTAAAATACTTATTTTCTATTTCGAGCTGTGTCAGATTATAGCCCAACGAACTTGACACGCGTGATTTTTTAAGTGGGATTGCATTTACAGCTGTTTTCATAAATTCTGGGTAGTTGAAAATTTTCTTGAGTCATCTACGTCGGTCGATATCATTCATCGGCAATTGTTATAGAAAGCAACCGCAACTCTAACCTAATTACGTCTTTATTTAATGCGGCAGATGTCGATCAACTGCCTTCAAAAGTAAATGTAGAAATTACATGTTGTATTCGAGTTACACCAAGTTAAAAACAAAAGCCTAGTTACACAAATTTTCAAAACTTTTGAAGTTTGATGTGGCAAAAACACAAATTTTATTAATCAAAAAGTATAGCAACAGTGACGCAGAACATGCGCCTCTCGGTTTGCCAGTTCAGAACTTTAATAGTTTGCTATTAGCTTTATTTTTAGAGTAGTAAATTAAGACTGCTAGTTTTTGTCAATCACCGCGGGCCTATGCCTAATAAATTTAGTTACAATCTTCTATTGAAATAACGTGTAATACGCATGTATTACGTGTCTTCACAAAACACTAAGGACTCAACAAATAAACAAATTTGGGGAATACCCTTGTGATCAATGACTCTTGTAGTACAAACTAGACAATCGTAGAAATTAAATCATGTGTCGTCACACAAATAATATTGGGAAGGCTTTGTCCAAAAAGGTCGGGTTGATCTGAAAAAAAAAACAAAACTCTTTTAAAAACAACTATCTTTTAACTATTATGAATATATGATATAATCTATGAATATTAAGTAATAATATTAAAGATATTTCGATTTTTGAGTCTAAACATAGTCTCAACTAAATACTATTTCGTACTCGGATTTTTTTTTTTTTTTGTGGATTATGCGACACAAAAGAAAAAAGTAGTTAAACCAAATTTTTTAATACGAAATTTTATATTGATCTGCAGGTAACAAAGTATCACTGCATTCAAAAAATCTGAAGGCGGATTGTTTTAGATTTTAATCACAGGACAATATATTCTAAATAGTTCCTTAATACGAACTTTGTTAAAAAATATTTATAGTAATAATGAAACCGGAATTAATGCCCACGGACGAATTTTCTGAAATGGAATGTTGTAAACTACAGGACGTTACAATAATAACATTTAAGAAGACTAATTGGTCTCCAAGAGAAAGAAGATTTATTAGTTTCGGTAAACTAATCTTGAGATGCATTCATCTTGTAAAGTTTTAAGCGTTTTTGCGACAGTCATTAATTGAACTTTTTTTTAAAAAAAGATTTAATTGAAGATTCAACTTCTATTGATCTTGAATTAGGGAAAAAGCATTCTCAAGCCAAAGGATTTTATTTTTTTAGTGTTTATGATGGACATGGAGGTATTTTGGTTATTAATATTTTATGTATATTACCGAAGTGCACTGATTAAAAAAACCTGTGGTCACCAAAGAAAAGACTTACAAAAAACCGGATATATTATGTTTTAGTGTATTGCGAGAAAGAGAAATTTCAAGCATATACATATACACAATTATAATGAGTAGCCTAGAAATAATAAAAAAAAAACAAAAATTTATTTAGAATCATTGTTTTGTACAGGATATTTTAGTCAGTACACTACGGTATATAAGATAAATTATCATATTTATATTTTTTCAAAATAGTAAATGGAATGAAAGAAAATAAGCATATTTCAAAAATATGTTCTGAAAATTTACCAAAAAATATTGCCAAAAGTCTTCCAAGGTTCTGGTCTTACAAAGAGAATAATGTCAAAAAAGCAATTAAAAAGGGTTTTAAAAATACTGAACAACTTATGAGATCAGGTTCCTTTTTTTTTTTTTTTATGATTAAATGAGGTTTTGGTAATGTTTCAAATTTAATTTACTCCATCCTTTGGTAGGATTTTCAAAAGTATCTAGAGATGCTGGATGTACTGCATTAGTAGCAGTTATGACGCCTTTGAAAGATATATATGTTGTAAGTGATCTCGATTATAAAGGAATTATCAGGCGCCATAACGTTAGTGTAATTGAATGTCTTTTAATTCATAATTCAGGCTTATATTGGAGATTCACCGGCTTATATATCACCAAATAACGGAGGTTCTATCCAAATTACGAAGGAACATGATTTACATAATAAAAGTATGTAAATTTTGAGTTATATGGCATATAACTCTCTGAAAGCACTAAAAGCATTTATTTATTATTATTTTACTTAGATGAAGTTTTACGCCTAAGAGCCCAAAAAAGCAATGGTACAAAATTTTCAATATATCGATTAGCACCTGACAGGAGAGAAAAATTTTGGGCATGTTAGTATATAACAAAAAGCAAAAGATTTAGCATATTTAATAAGTTTTTAGCAACACGAAATGTGAAACTAGTAAATTTATTTTTTTCATATTATGAAAAATAGTGGATAACACATTTAGCCGTGGGATGCAATATACACGTTCTTTTGGAGATTTTTATATTAAAGATAAAGCTAAGAATAGTTTGATAGGCAAGTACTTTTAAACGTTCTTAACTTTTTATATGATTCCCTTCTTTTTTCAGATGCTTACGCTTTGTAATAATTTACATAGCTGAACCAGATTTTGCAGAGAAAGTTTATAATGCGAAAGATCTTAATTTACTTGTTCTTTGCTCTGATGGTAAGATCTGACAAATAACATAAGATGCACTGCATTCTGTATTTATTGTGTATTAATATTTTCTTAATATTTTTTTAAAAAAAGGTATAACGAATCGTCTTAGAGTATATAAGAGAATGCCAACTGAAGTTTTATTAAGCTACATGAAGCAGAATAAATTTTCATCTGATTTGATAGAATCAGCCTGCAAAGACTTGGTCAAATTATGCGATTTAATTTCGCAATCTGGTTATTGTACTGATGATATGTCAATTATTATAATAGCATTTTTAAATGGCAGATCTCTTCAGAAATGGTATGAAGATGCAACAAAAGATGCAGAATATCCAAGAGATTGGCTAAATCCTACATTTAAAGATGATGATGATATATCTGAAATTTCTGCTCAAGATTTGGGTGAAGTTGAATCACCTGTAAAAGATAATGGATTTGATATCTATGATACTTCAAATCAATATTCTGCTGAAGAAGCTGAAGAATTTGCTGACATGACGGTTCCAGATTTTTAATAGATTATTCTTTTTTTCATTTAATCTCTTGCTTATACTTGCCGGAAAAATCCGGACAGATCCCAAACCTATAAAAGAATAGTACCCATTATAAAATGTTAAATCAAAGTAATATTTGATTTTTGCAAAATTATTTATACGTTTAAATAAAGATTAATACGTATTAAGTTTTTTGAGACATTTGTTTAGAATGAGTTTGGTATTTGGGCGTTAAAAATACCAAATACATACGTAATAGTTTTGGAATTTGTGGCAAGTATAGTTTTGCTGGGCAATAGTTTTATATTTATATATATATATATATATTAAATTGTTATTACAATAATTGTATACTGTGTGAAATGTGTATCAGTAATTTTACAGTAGTTACAAAAATGTAATTAAATATAATTGTATTTGTATAAAGATGCTAATTTTAACAAATTGCTTTGAATATCAAATTAAATATAGATATATTTTTATGATACTAATTGTTACATTTTGTAATGTTTCTAACTAATTCTCAAAATTATTCAAATAAACTTTAGTTATGAGAATTATTGTGGGCTAGGTGCTGCAAAAAGGGTCAAATTGACAAAATTTTCAAACTAATTTTTTTGCACAAATCAATTTAAAATAAGATTGGAATCATAAGCAAAAGCAATTATATAATAAAATTTTGTGGTATAGCTCTTTAAAGTTTGTATTTTCTTATGATTTATTATAAAATTTATAACAAAAATTTATTTTCCGAAGATCTTTTGTTTTGTCCATTTACCCCTTTTTGCAGCACAAAGCCCATATATTATATTCATTGACATGTAAGTTACAGTAATGTTGCCTGTTGCAAAGTCATAACTTAATATTTACAGCCTATTTATGTTGTACTTATTACAAAATAAGTCATAAAAATTATATTACTGATGTCACGACGAGAAGTTGCAACCCTAGTGGCGCAATAAAAAAGTCACACTTCATATTTGCAGCAAGCAATGCTAGTTACAAGTCTATTAAATTTAAATACTTTATAGCAAATATCTATAATTGATTTATTTGATCTATTTAATAACTGCTGCGAATTAATACAAGATTGGTAAATTGAGAATCAGAGTATCTATTTAACTATAAGTCTGGAATTCACTTAAGTAGATTTAAATTTCAAAACAGCTTTAAGTATAAACAAATTTATTACAAATTGTTGCATTTTAGATTTTTTTGATCTATTGATTGTTTAAAAAATCATATTTGATCATTATTTATACTTAGTCGGCTAATTAGATTTTTTATAATGTCGATTCTGATTGTCCGATTGATTAGGCAGGCAGACGAACTAGATTTTTTTGTTGAGAACGTTAATACTGTAAATGGGCAAATCAATCATGCATACTTTAAATTTAATGTTCAGCATTCATAATAAATGCTAAATTTTAATTTTATTTATTATTGTAATAAAAAAAAAATTCTAATGAACAGCGCTTTGTACATTATACTAAAATTCAATTTAACAATATATAAAATCAAAATCGTTAAAGTGGAACCTCTGAATGCACCCTCTATAAATGCACCTCCTCTCTAATTGCACGCTCAGCCTCTGGCCCAAATATAAGCATGACCTCTATAAGTGCACTTTTTCTTATCGTTCTCTAAATGCACTTTTTTTTTTTTTTGAAGTATATGCTTACATACATGGTGTTCACAAACAGAAATTCATAAAAAAAATTGAATTATTATA